AGATTCCAGTTAATAAATTAAGAAGAAATGAAATCTCCACTTTGCAGCTCCTATTCAATTCATACATCTAAGCCTTGAGCATCAATAGCTGCTAACAAAAAGAGAGGCAACTGGACAGTCTCTGCCTCCTGATGAAAGAACACACCAATGGTCTTGCCAAAATACACAAACAAATCTGAATCTGATCAAACTACCAATTTACAGGAAATACAGAGGGCAGATGAACATGTTAACTATACCACAATGATATAATCAGCAAAACTCAGATCATGAGATTCTCTACAGGTCAAAAAAATTCTTCAGTAAATACAAAGAATAAAAGAGGATCATGGGGTGAAATTTTAGATGAAAAGACACAAGACAAATTTTTAAGAGACCACATTAAACCATAGTGTTTATGAATGCACAATTGGGTGATAAAACTATTTCTTTAAAAAAGAAGTGATTACAATAAAAAATGAAGAGAGTGGTTTATTTTATGAAGAAGAACCAAGTACATGGAGGGCTTCTTGAGTAGCTCATGAAATTCTATTTCTTGACCTGGTGGTATTTATATGAGGACTTGTTCTATAATAATTTATTAAAGTATAATTTTGTATCATGGAATTTTCTGTATCTGTGTTTCATTTTATAATAAAAGAGGTTTTCTAAAAAAATCTTCATTGGTTTCCAGGAAATAATATTCAAAACATTACTAAGTGCTACTGAAAGTAATTTCTTTGGGGGATCACAAGCCAAAATTTAATCTTGGCATTTGTGTCTAGTTCCTGCTGGGTTCTAGGAAAGAAATACTAGTTCAAATCCCACACAGCCAAATCCCTAAGCCTCTTAACCTTACTTCTCCCACTCTTTCACATCAGTGAGAGGGGGAAGTCTGCCCCTCCCCAAGAATAAAGCCCATTCATTTGCCTCTACCCAAGAATGACTGAGAGTGGAACATCCATTTCCTTTCATGAAAACTCCCATCTTCACTCACAGGGTATAATCTGACCTCAGGACCTCAGAAAAAGAACCACAGTCTGGACTATTCAATATAAATAACAGTACATGAGGTATGCTATCATTTGAGTCTAATTATATATTTAAGGAAAAATAATTTCTTTATTCAAAAGTGTACTTGGGTTAAAACTTGTCTTAATTTATGTCATAACTATGGTGTTACCTTTTTATTCTGAAATATGTATTAAGATAAATGGTGTACTGTTTTCTTCTTTAAAATAACTTTCCTATTGGGACTTCTTTTCTCTCAAATCTTAAAATAGAGTTTTCTCAAAACAAAGTAAATCTCAACTTCTAAACATGGAAAACTCCGACAACCTTCAAAAGACAGTTGTCCCCCATCTTCCCCTATTGCTGCAAATCAAATCAAATCCTAATTTTTCTCTTTCTTGAGTACTTATAATTGACACCAGCCATTGATTTTTTAAAAATTCTTTTCATTTAGCCCTTGGCTCCATCTATAAGTCTTATAACCTCCTCTGATTATTCTAATATGATAATGACATTTCAGAGATATTAAGCCATCCTATAGGAAAAATTGATGCCCTTAATTTGTTCTCACCCTTTATTATTGTGTGTGATAGAAACCAAGGGCTGGATGCAACATCCATTGTTTCCTCCTTCCTGGACGCACGGCTGGAGTAGGTTTTCCTATTTCCCTTGCAAATTGTTCTATGTGACTAAGTTCTCACCAATGAAATGTGAACAGAACTAAAATGCACCACTTCCAGGCCTAGCCCATTAAAACTTCCCACTCATGCTCCTCCGTGCTCTTTCCTGGCCGACTGGAATGATGACCAAGAGGCAATGTTAGCAGCCAGGAGTTGAAAATGGCAGACTCACTGGCACACCTGAATCCCTGAAATATCACTGTGGCTGCTGATTGAACCTCCTCCTTGAGAGAGGAATATATATATTCGAGACGGAGTTTCGCACTTGTTACCCAGGCTGGAGTGCAATGGCGCGATCTCGGCTCACGGCAACCTCCGCCTCCTGGGTTCAGGCAATTCTCCTGCCTCAGCCTCCTGAGTAGCTGCGATTACAGGCATGCACCACCATGCCCAGCTAATTTTTTTTTTTTTTTTTTTTTTTTTTTTTTGTACTTTTAGTAGAGACGGGGTTTCACTATGTTAACCAGGATGGTCTCGATCTCTTGACCTCGTGATCCACCGGCCTTGGCCTCCCAAAGTGCTGGGATTACAGGCGTGAGCCACCGTGCCCAGCCCATATTTTTATGTAAGCTACTGGACGTGATAGGTTCCTGTGTTTGCAATTTTCTTATTTCCTATGAGAATTAGTACTTAAAAGTAAGCACCATAACAAACATCTAAAATGCAAGGCATTCACTTAGCATTCAGACCGAAGGCAGGAATAAAATGGTTATGAGAGGCTAGAAAGCGAAAGCCCCATGTTATCCGTGGATGAAATACTTAAAAAATTATCATCCATGATAACTTGGAAGGTAGACCAAGAACGTACTGATTCTGTGGCTTTAGGAAAAGTAGCTGAAAAGAGTAGGAATGTTAGTGCATGTCCACTGCTATTTGTTGTTTTTAGTCAAGTACTAGAAAAAAACAGATAAACTGAAGTAAGAATTGGCTCGTTTGCCAGCCAAAGTGGAACTGGAAAAAAATATATAAAGCTTCTTGGGGCTGAAGAAACTCATGGTTTCTATACCTCAAATACTAAAATATAAGATTTGGAGATCAAAGAGAGAGAGAGAGAGAGAGAGAGAGAGAGAGAGAGAGAGAGAGAGAGAGAGAGAGAGAGAGAGAGAGAGAGAGAGAGAGAGAGAGAGAGGGAGAGAGAGAGAGAGAGAGAGAGAGAGAGAGAGAGAGAGGAGAGAGAGAGAGAGAGAGAGAGAGAGAGAGATCCAGCCCAATGGCAAAGACAGTATCAGTAAAGTTGCCTTGCCACCCAGGCTATTTTAGACTTCAACATGGGTTCCATGATGGTGGAGATCCAGTGAAGTGTGATCCAAGAGGACAAACCTTAGAACAGGTCTAGAAAATAATTTGGGGGTTACTTACTAGCACATGGAACTGACTGGAAACAAGCAGTTCAGATACCTATCGAGTTTTTTGAGAAAGCTGTAATGCCCAAGAAACCACAAGCTCGAATCTGTAAAATTACTCTCATGCAACAGCAGAAAGCAGGCTCTGAAATGTATGCAACTCCTAATAACATGCTTCTCAATATTCACCATATAAGGGGCCATGGAAGCTACTGGACAGAAAGATTCTCCAGGAGGGCAGAGCCAAGAGACAGGGGAAAATGAGGAAGAAAGTTCCTTGCAGAGGACAGACCCAAGGTCTACCAAAACATTTTCTTCTAGGGCTTGGGGATCTAATACCTACCCTAGAGGATTCTATCAATGCTCTAGACCAGGTACTTCTTTGGGTGTTTTATTGTGGTTAGCCAGCCCCCTTTTGTATATTGAATAGGCAGAATTAGCACAGATAGCTTGTCTTTCAGTTCAAAGGATGCTGAACTTTCAGAAACTGTATTGAGACTTTCAGAAGCGGCCAGATCATCACTTGGAGATTTTAGACTTTGAGATAAATTTGTTAAGTGGACAGAACTGGGTTTTCTCCCCAGAATAGTATACATGTTTTATGTAAAGGTTGATAGTGGCAAAAGGAGCTAACGGTGATAGAGGTTGCTAGCTATCTACTAAAAATCCATCCTCCCCTTTTTCCTGGCAAAGAGCTAAACTGCATTTCTCAGCCTCCCTTGCAGTGAAGTGACTGTTTTTCTTCAGTGAAATATGATTGCAGTGACACATCACTTCTATGCTTATAAAAACCTTCTATGCCCATAAAAACCTCATTCTAATTGCAATATGTCCTTTCTTTCTACTGGCTGATTGGAGTTCCAAAGCTTTGTACAACTTCTAGATGCCACATATTGTGGAGGAGAGCTGCCATCAACTCAAATCCTATTATAATAACTTTTTGTTCTTTAAGCCACTGGAATTTGGGTTTTATTTCAGCTGCAGCTCAGCATATTCTAATACATCACAGTAAAAGTAACAATGTCTATTTATGCAGAATTTGCCAACTTTTCCAAGGAAGTCTACAGTTGATCTATTGAATCTAAGATCTTTACACTGTCTGATCTGATCGTTGCTCTCGGTCAGATTAGATTACATGGTCCCTTCTCATAACTACTTTGAATAAATACACTCAAACTCTTCTCTCCCATCCTCTCTCCTCTCTTTGCCTCTCTTCCCCCACTCCCCTGTTGTACTCTTCTGGCAAAACACCAGCTCTGGCTTCATCCAACTCTACCTAGGCCCCCACACTCAGAAGCTTCCTGTGGCTTGTTTGACTTTAAACTTATGACTGCTGATGCAAAATAAACCCATAGTGCTGCCCAGTAATCTCACTACATGTCCATAGTTCATTCATTCCATAGTTCATTCCATAGTTATTTATTCATTCAATCTCTTACACAGCTATTACATACTCCCTTTTCTCTCCACAACTGTCTAATTTCTTCCCATTTCTCTTCTTTCTCAGCTGATGAGTTTGAATTCTACTTAAATAAGAAAAAAGAAGCAATCGGGGAAATTTCCATTGGTTCCCAACACTTCCTCCACTGCCTACCTGCATCTGTTCCAATGTAATTTGCATCCCTCCTGGGTGAATTGTCTGTGCTCCTTTCTAAAGCCAAAACCTCCATATGTGCACTGGGCACATTTCCTATTATCTACTTAAGAATCCTACTCCAACAATTCTCTCCAGCATCATCAAAATTTCCCTCTATGGTGGATCTTTCCCTTAAAACACAGAACATCTTGTTATATATCCCATTTTTAAAAAATAAAATAAAATTTAAAAAAACAAAGAAAAAACTCACTTTCCATTATCTTGAACTACCATCCTATTTTGTTGCTAGCTTTTACATATATTCCTGAAAATAACTGTCTATATTCACTGTATTCCTTTCTCTAATTTCATTCTCTCTTAAGCCCACTCCAGGCAGGTTTTCATACTCACTATTTCACTGCATGCACCTGTGATCCCAGCCACTGGGAAGGCTGAGGCAGAAGGATTGCTTCAGCCCAGAGGTCAAATCTTCAATGAGCGGTGTTCATGCCACTGCACTCCAGCCTGGGCAACAGAGTGAGATTTTGTTTCAAAAAAAAATTTTTTTTAACCACTTACATCAAGATCACCAGTGATCCTCATTTCACCAAATCCAGTGGTAAATTATTAATCTTCAACTTTCTCAACCTGTCAGTAGTATTTGACACAGTGTAGCCCTCACTTCTTGAAATACTTTCTTCTTCAGAGACTCTTCTTTCCTGGCTCTTTGCTTTCCTTACTGGTCACTCCTCCTCATCTTCCCAACCTTAAATGTTGGAGTGACCCACGCTCAGTTCCTTATGTTGATTCTTTCCCATCTACACTCATTCTCTAGGTGATTTTGTCAAATTTTATAGTTTTTCATACCAAATCTACGCAGATGGATCCCAAATTTCTAGTTCCAAGCCAGATGTCTCCTTTGAACTCTGGGCTTGCATATTCAACTGACTTCTCTACTTGGTGTCTCATTATTATCTTGAAATTAACATTCCTCAAAATCAAACTCCTGATTATCTTTACTCTCATGGCTGCTCCAGAAAAGTAGCTCCGTTTCTTATTTATTTAAGCCCAAACCTTCATGATCTCTGGCTGTACTTTTTTTTTCCTTTTTATAAAAATTATATTTTAAGTTCTGGGGTACATGTACAGATGATGCAAATTTGTTACATAGGTATACGTGTGCCATAGTGGTTTGCTGCATCCATCCCCCCGTCATCTACATTAGGTATTTCTCCCAATGTTATCCCTCCCCAATCCCCCCACCCCCTGCTATCCCTCCCCTAACCACCCACCTCCAAACAGGCCCTGGTGTGTGATGTTCCCCTCCCTGTGTCGATGTGTTCCCATTGTTCAACCCCCACTTATGAATGAGAATATGCAGTGTTGGTTTTCTGTTCTTGTGTCAGTTTGCTGAGAATGATGGTTTCCAACTTCATCCATGTCCCTGCAAAGGACATGAATTCATCCTTTTTTATGGCTGCATAGTATTCCATGGTGTATATGTGCCACATTTTCTTTACCCATTCTATCGTTGGTGGGCATTTGGGTTGGTTCCAAGTCTTTGCTATTGTAAACAGTGCCACAATGAAAATGTGTGTGCATGTGTCTTTATAATAGAACAATTTATAATCCTTTGGGTACTCTTCCTTACATCCTACAACCAGTGCATCATCACATCCTCATGCTTCCACCTCAAACCATATCCAGAATCTGACCACTCCTCATCACCCCCTTACTATCACCTCCCACCTGAATTACTCCAATAGTAACCTGTGGACAAAACTACTTGTTCTCTACCTATATCCTGTGCGAATACAATTTTTATCTGGGTACTTGGTCTTCCAGAATGTAGATTATATTTTCTAACATTTTCTGTAGCTTAGTGTAGCCAAGAGGAGGTAAGCTGAAATACTACAGAACGTTTCTTAAGAGATAGCTCCAAGGTACTCTTTCTCGCTTCTCTTTTATGTCTTATTCCATCCTGCGTTTCAGTACAGGATGACCATTTAGACTACAGGGATACACCCTTATGTTTATTCTTTTCTACTGTACTCATGGCAGTGAGTTGGTAGGTCTTGGGGTCCCTGAGGACTTGGTGAAACAGATCTGTCATCTACTTCTGTATTTTGACGTCTGGATCTATAAGTAAGAGAGAAACTAACTTCTATTTAAAGCCACTGTCATTTGGGTTTTCCACTCACAACTGAACTTCATCTAAATCAATATGCTTTCTAACTGGTTCTCTTGCTTCTCCTTTATTAATGATTCTCCCCACAGCATCAGCAAGAGTAGTCCCTTTAAGACCCAGGTTAGCTCATGCCACTCTTGAGCTTGAAACCCTCTGATAGTTCCTCTTATTTCTCCCGTTGTGTTCTCATCAAAGCCATTACTGGACATCTCTGTTCTTTGAGGTTCTGTCACCTTCTGCTCTTCTGCTCTCATCTGTGTCCACGCTTCACCCTGTTCCTTCCATTCCAGGGTGATAACCTATGCACTGCTTTGCAAGCACATTTCTGCTGTGGGGCTGCACATTCCTTTCCTTTCCCTGAAAGCCCCTTGGCCCTGTTGTGTTATGACCCACTCACTCACTTTCCTCAAGACTGTACCCATATATTATCTTATCAAACAGGCCTTTTCTAACCACTCAGTCTAAACTATCACCACCACCACCAAAACATGTCCTGTAAAAATCAGGATGCTCAGCTTCTTTAGAGAAAGCAACCACTATGACAAAACTGTGCCCCAATTTTCAAAGGGCAATAGTGGATTGGATCTAGGGAGCAGCAAGGTGGGGCTTAAGTCAGCTCTAATTCTTATTCTTCCCATATAATTTCCATCAGGGCTCTATTCTCATTTCTTGATATGGAGAATGTGTGTTGTGTTATATTTTTTAATGTAAACGTCATGTAAAGTTAGCTTCGAGCACCATTACCCCATCCCCTTCTCTCCATTCCTCTTCTGCCAACCCACTCCCATTCCTGCCCAGCTAGTGACCATCCTTCTAAATAAAAAGCATAAAGTTGCTATTGGCTAGAAACTGGATGGCACAGGCACTTGACAGTTTACAGTACCGCCAAACTCCCTGTTGTCATGTACCTCTCTGCTTCGTTAATTCATATTTTTCTGGTTTCTAAAGGCATATGATTAGCAGATAACAGATTGTGATATTTCAGTCCTTCCAGGTTCGTGGGAGAAAATTGAAAGATTAAGAGACTTTCAGACCCCAAGGAATGACTCATCAATATGGAATTCCAGGCATCATGAGACAATCATTACACATAATAACTTTCTAATGAGGCTGAACTCCTTCTATCAGATTATTTTACAAAGCCATATGGCTTATTCCTGGAGAGTTGTTTGATTTGGTTTAGAATCCAAGTTTGTTTTCTTTTGAAATGTCAATACAGGCCAACCAGGTTTTGAACATGTGCAAAGACTGTTGGAAACAGATTAATTTTTCCTAGGCAAGGATCTTGCCTGGTATCAAGGAACTACTATTTTAAATGACTAAAAGAAGAATTACACTATTTAGCTTGCAAATACTGTATTTTAAAATGACTAAAGACATAAATTTGAACAATTGCCAGGTCAAGTGAAGTTCAAATCTGCAAAGTGAATAGCTTCTAAGAGGTTTATACAGAACTTGGTAGTTCCCTGTTATCTATTTATGTTGCATTTTTATTAAAGAAAAGTGTTTTATTAAAGATTCTTGGAATCTTTCATTCCAAAACCAGATTCTTGGAAAACAGTAATAAAAACTGCTTTGAATGAAGTTCATGGTCTTTTAGTTTTAGCAGTTTGTCCAGGATTAAGCAATTTTATGAAAAAATATCATTAATTCATTCAGCAAAATCATGCAACAAATATCTGGCAATGCCAGTCACTGTTCTGTTCTCTGTGTTCACAGCAGTAAACAAAAGAGCAAAGTCTGTGTTCTCATGGAGATTATGGTCTGATTGAGGGGAGAGGTGATTAGCAATTGTGTGATATGTATGGACTATGAAGAAAAGTGTTAGCAAAGCAAACAGGGATGGAGCTTTACTCACATTTGCATCGCCAGGGTGTAGGGCTTGGAAAAAGGCTTACGAGGATGAATGGATTAATGAGTCAGTATAAACTGTACCTGTAGACTCTCTGATCAGACAGAGCATTTGCTTCAGTCATTGAATGGGCTGGGGTAGAGCATGCATGCTTTTAGCTTCATCTCCCACAACTGTGGCTTTGCTACGTGTTAGTGGCAAGTGGTTTCCAAAAGGAGAAGCTTCGGGACATAAAAGTCCTCGTTTTGACCTCTGCCCTCCTTGTACACCAGGAGCCAGAAAAACTTCATGTCTTTTATAAGAAACATTGGGATTCCTGTAAAATTAAGAAATCACCCAATTTGACACCCTGCATTATCTAAAGCAAATGAGACCTCGATCTGGAACAAAAACTACCTTGCTGGGAAATGAGTCTGCAATTTAAAGTGTTTTCTAATAAGTTTATTTGGTTCTTAGTTTCCTTAAAAGGGAAGTAATCGTTGCCCATGGGCCCCTTTTAATTTCCCAGAGTTGGTTTATCTATTTAGTCATTTACGGTAGTTTCGAATTGCCTCATAGAACAAAGTCAGCACTTCTTGTTTACCCACACTGTGCCACATTAGCAGAGTTTATCTGGGTCTTCTCTCCCTCAGCCATTTCAGAAAGATGGTATCTGTACCATCTAAACTGTGTTTACATGAGCAAAAAGTAAGACGGTCATCCCCAAAGGCTGAACCCAATATCTGTATAGAAATCGTGTGAAACAATATCACCTTTAGCTTTGTCAAGAGCCTCTAATAAGACCTTTTCAGACCACAGTGCCCTTGATATCAGAGCATGTAGTCACCCACCCCAGGTTGACCCAGGAAGTATGAGAGAGCTAGGGTGGGAGCCAGAGGCAGAGAGAAGAAAGAGGGTGACCTAGTTCATAGCAAATGAATCTCACAAGCAGGACTAGATTGTAAAATCAGCAAAGTGACTCACAGCCGCGTGATGTCTTCCCTGAGCTCTGGGCACTTTTGCCTCTGTGACCTCCTTCCTTCAACAACTAACGTTACAAATTACATTTTATTATAAAGACAAATATAATCATGACTGAATGTATTAGTACAGACATGTTATGATTAGAGTCATTTTTGTTCTTATTTTAAAAGAAATGAAAGCTAAACACCTTTTAGGCCCCAGGCACTGTACTTCCTGTGGCCAATGAGAAAGTATGCTCTAAGTGGTGCCTTAGCATCTTTACCTCCTCCTATTTTTCCTGTGCATGTTAACTGTCACTTTGCCCCTCTTTGGGACGCAATTGTTTACATACAAATGTCTCAGGCATCTAATACCTTTGTGTTTTCATTGCCTCTCCTGCCTGCTGACCCGACTGAAGCATTTTGGCCACCAACAGAGTTAGAAGGGATGTGAGTCCCAATGCACATCCCCTTTCTACTTCCTCATTGCCCACTTGGGACTAGCTTTTGCTGCCACTTCTTCACTGAAACTGCCCCTGTAAAG